GAGCCTAGACGAATAGGCGCTAATCATTGCGCCATGTGGCAAGAGAATCGTAATTCGCCGCTCCAGTTGGCGTTGCGAGCGACATCGCGCCCGCTAAGACGACGATTGGGTGTTTTCGGTGAAGAACAGACAATTTGCGACCAAAAGTAGACGTAAGTGCCTACAATGTCCTTGTCTACATGAAATCCGATGCTCAATCGAAAGGGTAGTGCAAATTGAGGAAACGTCGCGCCATTGCCGCGCGCGACGAAGCGGCAATTTACGATTCTCTTGCCCGTCTCCCGTCTACACACAATTCACGGTTGACATAGCAATGAAAAAACTCCGAGTGCAGTAGGCCCGGCTAGTTCGCTTTTTACTTCTCACTAAGTCATTCACGCCTAGCAGAACTATGTAACATTACTGGTAAATAATGAAATTGTCCCTAGTGACACCTGCTCACATTGTTTACTTCATAGCAACACATGAAGTACCTGAATTCCGTTCGGAAGGTGAAGACCGTCGGCCAGCACTGTGGTTTCACCGGTTGAGATCTTGTGCTTCAAAATCCTGCGAACAGAAATTCAATCAAGTGTAACTACATGGACGTGGTGGAAAACATTCAAGGCAAGTATGAATTCAGCTTTAAATCAATAAAAAGCATCGAACTCGCAATGAAGGAACACATTTTCAACACAACTCCTAGTTGATGAAACGGCAATGATGCTAGCGTTTCCTCCTAATCGAGTGTGAACGGCAAAGATGCTACGACGCTTGTCGTTTCAGGTAGGGAGAGGGCGCGAGCGGCCCAGCCTTGCTTTTTTCTTGCAGCTGCAAATATCAGGGGAGAGCAACCCTTAAGACTAGCATTGGGCCACGGGTTTCGTTTACGAGTGAATTTGCAATGTTCAAAAAAAGAAATACAACAAGAGCGGCTGTTTTGTTCACAATTTTTGGGAAACGATATTCTGATCAGAAAGCTCAGAATCGAATAACTCTCTCGGACTCAACTGGCTACATGCATCAGGGTGGGCGCCAAACTGGACGCTTAGCGCCACACTACCTCGGCCCATAGCGATGATTGGCGTCTCGACCCAAGATACTGCTAGACGGTTCATTTGGGCTCCCAAGACCTGTACTTTATGAATGTTTTGTTAGTAAAGTCCTTCGAAGTGTAATTCACAAATCTAGTTGGGCTGAACAACTTTCAGTTGTTTCAGTTCACTTTCATACTGCATGCCTTACACTGCATCCATTTGTTGCCATCCCTACCAGGGAAAGCGGAAAATCCGCCCTCCTTCGGCTTGAAATTCTTCTCAATTTTATTCACAGTCACATCTCTTGCTGCCCTCAGACGTGTGCTCCACAAATACCGCCATATATCTAGAAACCAGCTTATTCGAAAGCAATTCTCGATGGAAACTCAACCCGAATTCTGACAGCTGAGCTCGCAAAAGAGTTCCATAGAAACTCAATTCTAAGAAGTTCGATTCACCTGCCAGAAGGCTCATGTCCAATGACAATATGAAGCACATGTCGTCTATCGTACTTCGATGAACTGTCCGTGAACACTATCTCATCCTCGTTTAGGACCTGGAAAATGTTTTTGTTTATTTACTTATTTACTTGTTTGAGGCGGAGGTGGTGTAGTGACAACTGGCACCTTTCCGGTGACGAACAAACAAAAGTGAATCACCGCTGAAAGACCACGCAAATGGTCGAGGAACATGGATTCAAGTTGAGGCGCAGTTCGGCTTGGGAGAGGCATTTTGCTTTCCTGCTGGTTCATATTTAAAGCATTCGTTCATTTGATGTTCCTACGCCCTCCTTAGATATCGTAGCTTTGTCGACAAGGGTGGAGGATGTACTAATTTCGCAGCTCAAAAATACGAGAGGATGCCGCCCCGCCCACCTGGCTGCCATAACTGCTTTGGCTTAGCCTTTAAAGGCTGAGCCCGCTTCCAAGAATAATGAGTTATGGAGCTCATATAATACGTGATCGTACTCGTATGAAGGGCTACGATATAGAAAGAGGGCGTGGAAACATCAAATGAACGTGCACGCTGCCTTTAACTAACAAATCTGACTTTGG